AAAGGTAGTCACAGGTCTGTCCCTCAAAGCCAAAACCGGTCGTTGGGCAGAAGAAAAATGAGGTAGTTCTTTCTGTACCAAGAAGGAGCAACAATGGTCAACAATGAGCCGCGGTGGTGCAGTGGTTAGAGTGGAGTACTGCAGGCTACTTCTACTGACTGCCGGCAGCCTGCAATTTGGCAGTTTGAATCTCACCCTCGAAGGCTCAAGGTTGACTCAGCCTTCCATCCTTCTGAGGTCGGTAAAATGAGGACCCAGATTGTTGGGGACAAAAGGCTGATTCTGTAAACCACTTAGAGAGGGCTGTAAAGCACTGTGTATAAGCGGTGTATAAGTCTTAAGTGCTATTGCTATCATCTAATGCAGTGATGGCGAACCTTTTCGACAGTGAGGGCCCAAACTGGAATACGTGTGCATCTGAAACCTGAAAACCTGAAAACCAATTGGCCGGTATGCACATGCTTGCTTTTGGCTGGATTTCTTGTCATTTTTTGGGCCATTTTCCAGTGCTCTGGCACCCACAAAGATGGCCCGGAAACACCCCGAAAAACGGCCTGAAAATGACCTAGAAAACCCCTGGTTGTTGGCCATTTTCCAGCTGTTTTAGGCTGTTTTCAGGCCAGCTGGTCTTTGCGGGCACCAGAGCACCAGAAAATAGCCTGAAAACTGGCCTCAAAAAGGCCCCCAAAAGGCCCGAAAAACAGCCTGTTCTTTGGCCGTTTTGGGGGCATTTTCAGACACCCCGGCACCCATGAAGACCAGCTGGCCAGTGAGTGTGCTGGAAAACATAAGAGTGGCTGGCAACGGCACATGTGCCCGCAGGGAGGGCTCTGCTTGCCACCTCTGTCTGGCATGTGTGCCATAGGTTCACCATCACAGATCTAATGCAATGTTTCTCAACCTCGTGAATGTGAAGGTTGTGTGGACTGGAAGCTCTCAAGGTTGAGAAACGCTGATCTGAGGGCCCTGATCAGAATGGCTGTGGAACAGATGGTCAAACGCTCGGCTTCTCTGCTTCAAGGGAAGGAAGGGGATCGCTGACAATCCGCCCCTTATTCCCTGGATAACTCTGTTTGTCTTAGAATAATACACAAACAAACCGCCACCTTTTGGCTGACAAAAGCAAGATATTTTGGACATGTGGCAAAGAACGGAGAGCCAAGGCAGCCTCTCTAGAGCTTTCCAGGATGAGTCAAAAGCTTATTGTACGCTCAGCCGGATGGGCCAGTGTATGGCTTGGCTCCCCTGTCAAATCTGCTGCTCTCTAAAGATGTTTCTCTCCTCTCGCGCGCGGTGAGGTTTCTCCTTCCAGATGGACAGATTTTTGAGGGTATTATGAGGCTAAAGCATGTTCAACACAATATTATCACAGAGGAATTAGTCTGTTGGTGGAGAAAAGAGAAGAGGGGAAATGAGTGCTCAGCCTCATAGGTTTGCCGCATAGGATTCAGACGGTTCGCACCTATTCGGGAGAACCGGTTGTTAACTTTCTAAGCGGTTGGGAGAATCGGTTGTTGGAAGAAATCTCCTTTTGTTTTTTTCCACTTTACTGGGATAATCCTGTAAGGAAGGCAGGAAAAAAAACATTCTGGCGTTGTTTCTAGCCTAATCTTTGTTGCCCTGCTTACAGAAATGGCCTCTCCGGTTAACTCGTATTACATTGTAACAGATAAAATGAAGCGCCCATTGACCTGAATGGCATTGAGTTGGACACGCCCATCCAGCCAAGTCTTGCAGGCTGGATGGAGACGCCCTGGAAACAGCACAGGATCTTTCTCTGTGTACATGTTTTAGCTAGCTTTGCAAATAGAAACATGCGCTTAGTAAGCAGCTCCTTGATCATAACTGTTTTGAGAAGAGATCAACAATAGGAGAGAGAGGTGGGAGGGAGAAGGGAGGGGGAGAGAGAAAGAAAGAGCGGGAGGGAGAAAGAGAGAGAGGGGGAGAAGAAGGAAGGAGAAAGAAAGAAGGAAGGAAGGCAAGAAGGAAAGAAAGAAAGAAAGAAAGAAAGAAAGAAAGAAAGAAAGAAAGAAAGAAAGAAAGAAAGAAAAACAAAGGGGAGAGAGAAAGAGGGAGGGAGGGAGAGAGAAAGAAATTGGGAGGGAGGAAGAAAGAGGGAAGGAGAGAGAAAGAAAGGAAGAAGAGAGAAAGAAAGAGGGAAGGAGGGAGAAAAAGGAAGGAAGAAAGAAAGGGGAGAGAGAGAAAGAAAGAGGGAGAGAGAGAGAGAGAAGCTAATTATTATTGCCAAAATGCTTCATTCAAATCACTTGCAGTTAATCTGATTTGTTAATAAAAGCCATTGATCCATCAACTAATTTGAATAACAGGAAATCTCTAAATCTACAGCCAGACCCAGAAATACTGTATATATCCATTCAGACTCATTGCTTTAAGCCTAAGCCTTTTCCTTCCCATCCTGACCCTAACAACCTTCAGGCATCTTGATCTCATTACTCAGCCGGCACAATTGAAAGACAGAACTGGGTATCATCAACCCGTTGGTATTGACCTCGTCCAGAAAATTCATGTAGATGTTAAGCAGAAGGGAGAAGTGTCTCACGCCCTGAGGTACCCCACAATGCAAGGGCATTAACCTCCTCCCCGCCCCGTTAGCACCAGCTGGGACTAGCCATGAATGAAGGAGAACAATCACAATATTGGGTCTCCCACCATCAACCCCTACAGATGGTCTATAACAGAGGTGTCAAACTCAAGGCCCGCAGGCAGCATCCGGCCAGTGAGGTACTTAGATCTGGCCCGTGGGGCCACCCAGAGCAATTCTTCGATCTGGCCCATGGTGCCTCTGCCAGAAAAACTGAGCTTGCAAGGGCTGTGGGCGTCCCTCCCAAGCTCCAATTTTGACGGCAGAGAGATGCAGGAGGTTGTCACAGCTGAAAACAGAGCTCAGGAGCCCGTTTTTGCTGACAGAGCGCTCGGGCCACCACTGGCGCCCTTGACATGAGGGATGTCAAGCTGGCCACGCCCACCATGGCCACGCCCATCCAAAGTCAAACACAACCCTATTACGGCTGGGGGCTAATCCTACCTTTGTTCAGAACTTGCTGCAGGGAGCAATGGAAACCAAATCTAAAAGCAATAGCAATAGCAATAGCAGTTAGACTTATATACTGCTTCATAGGGCTTTCAGCCCTCTCTAAGCGGTTTACAGTGTCAGCATATTGCCCCCAACAATCCGGGTCCTCATTTTACCCACCTCAGAAGGATGGAAGGCTGAGTCAACCCTGAGCCGGTGAGATTTGAA